TATATATATATATATATATATATATATATATATATATATATATATATAATTGTTGAGGTTGCTTAAGATGGTTGGTTGGACTTTTTTTGCGACGACCACCGACTTGGTAAAAGGCCAGGGAAGCTGCAACGTGGTCGTGCACAGTGGGAGGGACTCGGTCAACACACGATCTCTAGTTTCCTCGATCGTGGAGAACAGCGCGGCTAACGCTGCAGTGGAGAGATGGAGAGGACGTAGGGCTTCGAAGGCCGTGCAGACACCAACGAGCCAACGTGTAGCCATACGGATCATACCTACTTAGATACGTGGCCAGGAAAAATATGCCCGCATCAAGACAACTGGTCACCGTGTCGACTACTCCACATCGATGCTTCCACCTGGATGAGATCCCGTTTGTACTTCCCCTAGAGTTTTCTAACATGACGTCAAAGTGACGATCATCCGAGCATGTGATATGGGATAAAAGACCAATTGTCTATTGGACAGACGTCCCTTTCGTGGGATGCATTCTCATCACAATCATTCATCAAACAATACTCCCCTACCAAGAATTAGTATCTACATTTAAAAAAAAGAAAGCATCAGTATCTGCCAGACGCCATTCTTTAGCTGGATGTCAGTTTCCATCAGGTGACACTTTCCAGCCACTGTACAAGGCACAATTAAGGGTTCCATTGACCGTATGATCTCATCAAAACTGTTGAGATTCAATATGACAACCAAGAAAATATGGTTCCTACAACCACGTAAATTTAAACTTCTGACTCTCAAATCGATAATAGAAGAAGCTTTAGCTCTCCTAATCCCCCTCACTAACATGAGTGTTAAGAGGGTGATCATCAAACAACCTCTTATATCTCCTTTGTTCTGTTGTTGTCAATCTTAAAGAAGGGAGCTACACGTACCCTCGGAACCAGGCTGTTCCGTGGCCTCGTCGTGCTTAGGGTTCTTGAGGTGCGGCCGCGTCCTTGAAGATTCAATTCCAAACTTCCTTCAACTATCGGGGTTCTTGAGATTCATATTTTCTCCCTCTAGATCATCTACGCTGGTAGTTTAGTTAATCATTTTCTCATATTCTGAAATAGTCAACTTGATCCGTGATCGCGCCGTGAAAATAGTTGGCTGCGTTCTCCTATAAAATTCTTCACCCCTTCAAAGCATTCTGTGTTCCTTTTGTGACTAATGGCTGAGCAGCACCACCAGCACCACCACCACCTCATCCACCACCACAAGGAGGCGAATCCCGCCGACGAGGTGGTCTACACCGAGACCGGCTCCACCGGCAAAGACGGGTACACGACTGGTTACGTGAAGACCACCGAGGTGGTCACCAACGACGGCGGCTACGAGTACAGGAAAGAGGAGAAGCAACACAAGCACAGGGAGCACCTCGGCGAGATGGGCGCCCTCGCCGCCGGTGCCTTCGCGGAGGTATCCTCATTATTGTGTGTCAGATCTTACAAGACTTGCACTATTTATCCGCACCTTGAGAGATTAGGTAAAAATGATGAACCCTGAGACTTGGGATTATCTCCTTAAAACAAAAAAATCCTATATAATCTAGCATAGTTAGCGAGGCCATCAGATAATAATTAACATTTTGCATAGTGCTTACGGTATAAGATGGGTTTTGCCTTTCAATATCAGAATATGCTGGTGCTAGTATCAATCTCACAATAATGGTGACCACAGCATGAGAAGCACAAGGTTGAGAAGGACCCAGAGCACGCTCGTAGGCACAAGATGGAGGCGGAGATCGGCATGGCCATGGCAGTGGGCAGCGGAGGGTACGCCGCCCACGAGCACCACGAGAGGAAGGAAGCCAAGGAGCAGGCCGAGGAGGCTCATGGGAAGAAGCACCACCATTTCTTCTAAGACGGTGGATTGTTCGGGTTCATGGTGACCTTCCAATGTTGGTAATAATCGAAGCACATGGTTCTGGACCGCATGAAGGCCTTCGTTTGTGTGCGTGTGTTTAAGATTCACGAAATTGCTTGATCAATATGATTGATATTAACTAATAAAGTCTCTGCTTGTGTTTCCTTTGCTTGTGATGTAAGTCTTCTGAAACACAAGTGATCAATCGCTCGTGTACTTGTACTCTGTTAATTAGCTTTCTGCCCACGCAACCGTAAACTTCCTAAGGTCGCAAAAGCTTCACCACCCAAACCTCCCTCCACCACCTTCGCTGTCGTTTTCAGCATCTCCTCCGTCAAGGGACGAAGAAACGCATACTTGCGACGGAAGACGCTTATAGCTACATTTATTCCAGTAATACTATATCCAGAAATATAGGATTATGGAGCTAGAATTGGACCTGAGTGTGACGGGAGCCACTAGGAATCTCGCGTTTGCCTCCACCGAGACGGAGGCCGTCTTCGTCCTCCTCGCTCACCTTCCAGGTATGGCACATCCGATCATATGGGTTATTTTTGGTTATCGCAGATATCTTAGCGACGATGTGATGCAGCAGGATTGGTGCGGGAGAAGATCGAGGTGTCGGTGAATGAAGAGGGAACGGAGATTAGCATCAGCGGAGGAGGGGACAAATCCGCCGTTGAGACGGTGGTTGGAAGACGACTGCGGTTGAGGAATGAGTTCGAGATTAACCCGTTTCGGAAGGTGTTTCGCATCCCGAATGGCGTCGCGTTGGATCAGATCGATGCTGGATTTTACGAGGAAGGAGACATTCTGGTGATTTTGATGCCCAAATCTGTTAGAGGTAATGCTGCTGGAATCGCAATCCGAGAAGTGCAAGGAGGAGAAGCTCCAAGGGAACAGAAGCTTGAAGGAGACGAAGTGATTTCTATGGACCGACCTCATGGTCATGCAGAAACAAACGAAGCGAGAGCCGCGATTGATGATGCAAAACCACCAAAGGCGGAAGAAGAAGAAGAAACCAAACAAGGAAAAGAAGAGGATCTAATCAGAAGAGAAGGGGCCGAGGAGAAATTGGACCAGAATGGAGCAGAAAGCTCAGGAACGGACCGTAATGGAGATCGAGAACCAAAGCACATGGAAGCAGAGATCAAAACACCTAAAGAAAAAGACTTAGAAGAAGAAGAGCGAAGAAAGGTACCTGATCAACCTCAAAAGCCCTCGATCGAGATGGAAGCACCAGATCTGCATGGAGAGCCCCCTCCTTCCGCAGCACCGGCACCAATCAACGGAACGGGACAAGAAGATACAATCGAGAAGACGAGCGGTCCAGATCGAGAAGAAGATGAAGACGAAGTGCCCGACTCGCTTGAAGCGCCTGACGCGGATCGAGATCTCCACCAACCCAAGGGACAGCAGACGTATCCAGATCACCAAACGGAACAAGAAGACAAGGCGCATGAACCGGAGCGACAAGAAGACAGAGCAGTACCTGAATCGTTCGAAGCACCTCAATCGGAAGGAGATCTCCACCAACCCGAGGAACAGCAGACGGATCCACATCACCAAACTGAACAAGAAGACCAAGCGCATGAATTGGAGCAACAAGAGGACAGAGCAGTACCTGAACCGGATGGAGAAGATATCCACCACCCCGAAGACAAGACAAAACCCGGCGAGATTTCAGATCAAATTCCCCGTCGATCCGGCGACAAAGCAGAGGAAGCAGCTGACGAAGTCCCGCAGACGGATAAGCCGATCGAAGCCCCAGACGCAGGCGAGGGAGAAGAGAGCTCGCCAGGTGATACAGGAGAGAAAGAGAGAGAGAACGGATCGAAGGGTAAGAGAAAGAGAAGGGAGAGGGCTAAAGAAGGAGGAGGAGCGCCGCCTCCTTCTCTGGCGGTCTTTGCTTTCATGTTGTCGCTGGTGGCGCTTGCCGTCCAACTCGTGAGGAGTCGAAGGCGCCGTTAGGCTTCGCACCGGATTGCAGTTATGGTGTTGGTTTACATTGTAGAATGTGGTATTGTTTCAATTGTTTATATGGTTCCCTTCTTATGTTTCTGAAAAATGGTGTCCACGACGCCGAAAGTAGACCTTGAGATGACCTACGCTTCCATTAGCCTCGCAACATCTCTCTCCTCACGCTTGCGAAGCTGCGCATCCTTATCTGCGTTGCGTGCTGGCCAACAAGCCCACGCCCAAGTCCTGGCTCATGGCCTCCTTCCGCATGTCACCCTTGAGACCGACCTCATGCTCACGTACGCTCGTTGCTCCAATCTCCCTCTCGCCCGCCAGGTGTTCGATCGAATGCGCCACCGGAACATGCATTCTTGGAACATCCTCCTCTCTGCCTACGTCCAGGCCTCCCTCTTTGATGATGCACTCTCGCTTCCCCGCTCGCTCCTACACTCTGGCCTTCGCCCCGACCACTTCACGTTGCCTTCCCTTCTCAAGGCCTCCGCCGCAATCGGAGACTCCTTTCGCGGAATGACATTCCACAACTGGGCTGTATGCCTTGGGCACGAGGAGAATGTCATCGTCAGGAGCTCCATCTTGGATATGTATGCGAAATGTGGGAGCCTGGATGATGCTCTCTACTTATTTGAGACAATGCCTAATAGGGATATCGTTATGTGGAATTCTATTATTTCGGGGTATGCAAGGGTTGGGTGCTCAGCTCAAGCATTGGACCTTTTCCGGAGGTCGCAATGGGAGGTCGAAGAGCAGGACTTCAGGGCCATTCCGAGTGTCCTGAATGCATGTGGTCGGGAAGGAGACTTAAGAAGAGGGCAGGAGGTTCATGGGCGAGCTGTTCGGTGCTGCTTGTTTGATTCCAACGTTGCTGTAGGTAATTCTTTGATCGATATGTATGCTAAGTGTGGATGTGCGAATGACTCGTGCAAAGTTTTCTCAAGCATGGGCGAGCAGAAGAACATAGTGACATGGTCAACTTTGATCTCTTGCTATGGAGTTCATGGTGAAAGAAACGGGTCACTGGCACTGTTTGAAGAAATGCTAGCACAAGGGATGAAACCGAATCATATAACGTTCACTTCAGTCCTGTCTAGCTGTAGCCACTCAGGCCTTGTTGAAGAGGGCCGGAGAATCTTCGACTCGATACGGGGAATTCACGAGGTGGAGCCCAGCATCGAGCACTATGCATGTCTGGTTGATCTTATTGGTCGTTCAGGGAATGTCGAAGAAGCTCTGGAGATGATACACAGGATGCCGATGGAGCCGACTGCTAGTGTTTGGGGAGCACTGCTGGGTGCTTGTGTGGTGCATAAAAATGTGGAGGTTGGGGAGATTGCTGCCTTCAGGCTCTTTGATTTGGAAGCTAGGAATCCTAGCAACTATGTGGCTCTCTGTGGCATATATGAAGCAGTTGGTCGACTGGATTGTGTTGCTAAAGTGAGAGTGAGGATGAAAGAATTGGAAATGGTGAAGACACCAGGATGCAGTTGGATAGATGTGAAGGGGAGATTGCAGGCTTTCTATCAAGGGGATGTCTCTCATCCTTCAGTGAAGCATATCCATGAGATGTTGAATTGGTTAACGCAGACAATGACCACTTCAACTATGGTTGATTTAGATTGGCATTTGTGAATATTTTCTCATGCCAAGTCTTGTGAAGATGGCAAGAGATATAGATGGACTTGGAGTTACAGTGATGATACAGCCAAGTAAAGCATATTACACTGTCTGTGACCACATGCCATCTGATTCAAACTGCAGTGATCTGATCAGGTAAGAGATACATCAGACCATAACTGCAGACTCAACATGATTTTGGTATGACAATATGAAGCTTGCCATAACTAAGAATCATAGTATCCAAAAGTTACAGCATCCATCTTTTGCCATGAAAGAAGTCGACGGAAGAACACATCCAAACCCTGTACAAATTCTTAAAGGAGTTCGATCATTCTCAGCCAGGAATGTGGAGAAGAACACAACAGGTTACATCTTACTGCTTCCAAGAAGTCTTTTATATTAGACGATGAAAGAATACCTTTATGATGCTCTCAAGATCAGAGGATACAACTGAAGGTTCATCAAATGTAATGAGATAACACTATACAAGCACAAACGTTCCATCGGATCATGGCACTATAATTGGATATATGTTTCATCAGATATAATTGGATAACATTATACAAGCGCGAATGTTCCATCGGATCATGGCACTATAATTGGATACATGTTTCATCAGATATAATTGGATAACATTATACAAGCGCGAATGTTCCATCGGATCTGCCATGTTTGCGATTAAGACTTGTTTAGCAGATTGTTGTATGCAGTGAACAGGGCATGAAACACATCTCCTTTCTTCTCTTGGGCAGCTGGACTTTCTTGGGAGTTAGATTCTGCTGACTCTGCCTTATCAGTCTTGACTGGGGCTTTTACTTCTGGTTTCACTGGTTCTGCATTTGCACCACTCACTTCAGTATTTATTGCCAGAGAAGGAACAGAGGTCTCCTTCGGTGTGGCATTTGAGATGGCTTCATCAGCTTCAGTGTTGGAGACTTTGGTAGGTTGTTCTTCTGTTTCATGAGGTACTGCTTCATCCGTTGTTTTGTGCTCAATCACTTCTGTTTCATGAGGTACTGCTTCATCCGTTGTTTTGTGCTCAATCACTTCTGTTTCATGAGATACTGCTTCATCCATTGCTTTGTGCTTAATCACTTCTTCTGTTTCAAGAGGTGCTGCTTCGTCCGTTGCTTTGTGCTCAATCACTTGTTCTATTTCGAGAGGTACTGCTTCATCCACTGCATTGTGCTCAATCACACGTGTTTCATGAGATACTGCTTCATCATGAGGTACTGCTTCATCCACTGCTTTGTGCTCGATCACATGTGTTTCATGAGATACTGCTTCATCATGAGGTACTGCTTCATCCACTGCTTTGTGCTCGATCACATGTGTTTCATGAGACACTGCTTCATCATGAGGTACTGCTCCATCCACTGCTTTGTGCTCAATCACTTCTTCCTTCGCTTCCACGGTCTCTGGTGCAACAGTCTCTAACACGACATTGTCGCCGGTTTTGATGGATTCAGAAGGCTCTTCGTTCTGCAGGTTTAGTTCCAATGAACTTAAAATTAATACGAGTTAAAGTTCAATCTAGCATGCCTACCTCTATGAGATTGCCATGTCAAGGAACAATGGCGTGCCAATACCATTTTGGCACACGATATATGTATATATATGATGAATGCAGAGACTGAAACATTGCCATCAACTAGCAACTTGCAATTTAGTTACCTAGCGTGTGGTTGCTAATGCATATTGTTGTCCTCGTGCAGCTGTTTCCAAAGTAGCATTACTACAAGCTATAAAGATCGCACCTTGAACTGGTCGTCGAGGGATTTCAGGTGGCTCTCAGCCGGCGCCTCGTGTTCGACCTCCTGCTCGGAGGCCGCCACCACGACCTCCTCGTCCTTCTCCTCCTCCTTGGGGGAGTGCACCACCTTGGGATCCTGCGAAGAGGGCGGCAGCTGCTCCAGCGGCAGCGGGGTGTCGCCTTGCGCCATGGGCTTCGACGCGCACGCTCCCATGGCTCTGCCTCTCTCTCGCTCTCTTGATCCGGCCCTGGTTCGAGAGGGAGGGGAACAGAAGCGGAAAGGGGCCACTGGCATATAACGAAGCAGGAGAAGGAAGGGTCCCGAGGCGCGAGCTGGCGCTGTTATTCCGACATGTGTTCTGCGCCGCAGGTGTTTGCTCTTCCGACAATTGCTCTGCAGCACAGAAGGAACTCAAATATAGAATGCGGAACCAGCGGTGCTCACGAATTGCACCGAGTTTGAAGACATCCGACGTGATCGACAAATGACTCGTACGCTACTATTTCTCTTGTTTTTTTTCTCGTATTTTTTAAAATTATTATAGTTGCAAAAAAATATGAGCTTATGTGTGTTTTTTACATTTTTAATGTTGGGAATAAATTACCACATTTCTTTCTTTCAAGTAGCTATACTTGTCTTGCCTTTTTTCTTTCTCCGTGTTCGTGTTGTTTGGTTGTGATAGAAAGAACAGAAAGATGAGAAAATTATTCATGTTAGATGGAGTAAAATAGATTAAATTAGACATTATAAGAAATGTGAGATTCTGACATCGGTAGAAGTTTTTACCGACTAAATTAGACAGGAAAAACCTTTTAGTCAAGCATTTGAATTTGTTACTGTAATATTTTCGATGCTCAAATCAATTTATAGTCTCAGATTATAGAATAAAAATTTTTATATCTAAAATATTGGAGAGAGCTCAGCTTACTCATAAAACCTATTAATATAGATTGTGGTAGCACTTGTCATCTCCCTTCAGATCAGGTAAAAACAAACATAGTTTATACGGCTGATCCACAGCACCAATGTGATCAATTTGAAAGAAACCAGACCTGAACATAACGATGCTTGAAACTGGCATGAAATCAACAAGATGGATCAAAAGATGTTAAATTACATGAACCTCTTTTCATGAAACAAAAGTCCTCCAGAGGAGTTGCTTCTAAATCTCCTTACCAAATGTTAAATGTTGAACATAATGACAGTGAATGACAAAAGCCGCATCAGTTTCTCCTGATCAAAGTATAATGAGAGAATTCTACAAGATCCAGAATAAGGGGAATCCATGAGTATTATTGGCAGATACCTCTTTACTGCTTCTGACCATGTAACTTGACAATAGCAAACTAGTCAAAGATAACATTGTCGGAGAAGAATGAAAAAGCAAACCAAGTCCAGAATACAGAATCCAACATGACGACACGTAAGGCCACAACATGACCTATAATAGAAAGGGCAGAAAAAAGAAGAAATTGACAAAAAAGAAGGTCAACTAAACTAATAACTTCATTAGTCATCTAAATGACACGCACATAGGACCCGGTATTGTCTCTTGTTTCTAAGAGACGTTATCAAATGCCTCGAAATATTTACTAGCAAAAACACCAAATGAAGACTCAAGCATCAGCTCCTTCCTCGAGTCAGAAAAATTTACAATTTTGCAGCCAAAATTCCACAGCTTCCTTCAAATAATCTTGCATCACCTAATTCTTTTTGAAGTAAGATCCAACTCTATTTCCTTCTGCCTTAGTTCAAGGCTCATGTGTTCATTCTCAAGCTTCATCCGCTCATTTTCCATCCTCATCATGTTTAGTTCTCTGTCTTTCTTCTTACTAAACCTATGCCACTTGTAACATTGCTTCTCAAGCTCCAGCATTTGAGCTTGAATTTGCAATCTCTTCTCCTCTAATTGAAGCGGATAAGAGTTGACCCAATGCTGTTGTATTGGATCCTTCTGAAAATACTCTGTTCATATCTATCGACAAACCTTGAGGTTGAAGGGTCCTGATACAATTTTGTGGGCCTGGGTGGTTTCCAGAAACCACATCTTCATGGCTCACCCCATTCTTCATCCTTTTTGGAAAGCATGATGCCACCAAATCACCGTGCAAGGTATTATGCTCTTCAGCATCACCTTCCTCATCGTCACTATCAGCACTTTGATCATCTTCATCAACATCTTCGTGTGAGTCCCTCCTTGCATCATGCTCACCTCTCCTTCTAAGTGCCAACTGCAACGATCGTTGAAGTGCAGGGTCGGCAGGTAAATTCAACCGGTTACAATTATGATAGGAGCACATCTCCTCATAGAAAAGATGTTTTGAGCTCAAAATCTTCCGGACATCATCCTTCATCTTCTCAGAGACATTACTGATATGGTCCAAAAGCGCCGGATTCTCCACAACCCTACTAGATGTTCCCCTCCCAAGGATATCCGTTAGCTTCTTGTATCTCTTGTTCAGGTCATTAAACTTATCCTCACATTGCTGAGGTGATACATAACACCCCCTTTCAGCCATAGCTTTCGATATGGCCTTCCGCTTCCCCTTTTTCTGCAATATGACATACTTCCTCCTCCCACTGCTCTCAGAAGCATTGTCTTCTCCTACGTAAGAAACCACAGTTATCAAAAGCCGAACCATCGCATCAGTCCACTTCATTCGCAGCCAAGGAGAGCCCTTTTTCCCTTCGCCAGCCTCATTTTGAGCATCAACTCCATCCTCGGTCTAGCTTGGCTCGTCGTCTTCTCTCACCGAGGCCCTTGCATGCTCTTCTTTGTTGTACTCCAAGATGGAAATCCCCGCTTGATGGTCAGAATCCTGAAACTAGTTTCCCGGTACAGGGAATGAATCACACATCCGTGGGTGGATCATCGAGGCTTGGCGCATGTGCATCTTTCCTTGCAAACTTATTGCACCATAAGAAGCTCCGGTCATCATGCTTCCAGCAGGTAATTTTCCCTCCATTTGGCGTCTTTCAGAAGTAAAAGTATCCAGTGAATACTGTCCAAATTCTTCCTTGTTATGCTTGGGACTCAGGAGGAATCACACAAGGTTTCCATCTTCCTTGCGGCTCCTACCGGTTTCTTCACATCAATCCCACCATCTCAAAGATAACCAACCTTACCCCCCTTCAAATGTTTAACCTATACAGCGAGTATGAGAGCCTAGGGCTCAGCAAATGCAGAAAAATCCCAACTTTATGCAAGACGAGGCAAGAAATCGATCGCAACCGCCACAAACTCTCATTTCCCGATCTCAGAAGCAGATACCAAATGGGAACCCCTAGGCCCGACCCCAGATCACCGTACCAAAATTGACACAGCGAGAAAACCCAACAAACCATCCGGAAACGGCGGAAAGGACGAACTTAACTGCTTTGCGACGCGAGCGAATCCGGGTTGCGCTTTTCTTTCTGGGGGAAACGCTCGACACCGCGGCAGCGTCGCCGAAGAAACAGAGCTGTCTTTCGGTGGAACGACGGGAAGGGGAAAGCGGGAGACGGAGAGCGACGCACCAACGGGGTTCCGACGAATCGCAATCGCACGCCATCGTGCGGTCGGCAACAGGCCCAGTTAGGTGGGGGCTTATTTCGGTGGGACCTAACGTGACGCCGCCAACGACGTCAAGCTGACGTCATAATTTATTAGACTATTTGACTGTACCTCCAATAAATCTTCCTAAGTTAGGGTTTGGTGTATACTCTCATTTCATCACTAATATAGCAGCTTTATAAAAGGGCTTCAAATATGCTAATTTACATATGAGAAACTAATTTTTTGATATTAACTTAAGCATAAAAAATGATTATTATTAGGTATATTCTCAACATAATTTACAAGATAATCATTTCGTGATATCGGGCTTACGATAACGTCTAATAAGAATCAAAATTGGTTTCGAGTCGTAAAACCCATAAAAACAAGAATTTATAAATATAAAAATCATAGTGTTGTAAATTAATAGATAAATGGGTAATTTTTTTGCCTTGTAAATTAAGACAAATGGTTGGGGAAGCTTTGAAAAGGACAGTAGTAGCATGGAACAGTTGATGTGGTCAGAAAGCTTTGACATAAATAAATGAACAGCAAAGTAGGGCTGCTTTTAAGGAGACTAGTGGCAGCTGTGCTCAGGCCAAAGGTTTTCCTAAGATACCCTAATCCTCATTGGACTGCAACTTTGATGGTGACATCAACCTTTGCCAAAGTTATTGAGAGATCTATGTGATTTTGAAGAGATGAGGCTGAACCTTCCTGTTCAGAAAGTTAAGCAACAGACCAAATGTATTAATTTTCAGTCTTTAGTAATGTAAAATTAGTCTTGATATTTTTGTTTTTTGAGAAGTAAAAGTTCTATCGACATAATAATTTGCTACTATACGAGACGGAGATTAAGTGCACATTGATTTTCCACTTTATATATATGAAAAATCTCGTAAGAAATTTGAGGATAAATTTTTTTATTTTGAACCTATATCGACATATCGATATCTAAATATTGCTTGTTACCACCATCCGTATTTTCGTTATTTTTTTATTTTACACATGAATATTTTTTTCCTTATTTGATATTATCTTATAAATTTTAAAAAAGACGAGTCTTAGTAAAATTAAGACTAATATATATAAATACTAATCTAACTCAAAAGCTTAAACTTTTAATTCTAATGTGTCACCTAATTATTTCAATTCTTAATAATATCATATTATTCTTAGCTCTTTTTCATTTTGCATCTCACTTTTTTTTCATAATGAGGTAATTTTCTTAATAAATAAACAACAAAAGGGACTAAAGATTTATATATTCTTTTTTTTTGTTGAAGCACTTATCTTAGATTATATTACTCGTCTCTCTCTCTCTCTCTCTATCTCCATTTCTAAAAATGGTATTAGTGTCTTTGATCTGATTAGCACAAAGATATCCATCAAAATGAGAAGATTCGGCATCGATGTAAAATGCCTCTTTAATCATAACTTTCTCAGTCCAAAAATCATAATATCTCGATCTCTATTTGGAGCAAAATTAGAGGTATGATTTGGGGGCACATCAATCGATATCAAATGCCGGTGAAGCTTCCTGCGATGGCTACAGAACAACACGGATGGCCTGCGCCGGGTCAAACGGAGTCTCACATGGAGTGCCTCCCATCACGCGCTTCCCTCATCCGTGCCCGTCCGATCCAGATCGTACGCTCCATAATTGATTCGTATCCTCGCTCTTAACTCACCTGCACGTCGGTCCCCTCGACACGACGCAGGCACGCCCGCCTTCCCCTGACGTGTCTTCCGCTCCGCCCCGGTGACCGTCCGTTCGACGATCGGACGGCTGAGAAGGAGGACACGGAGACACCGCCGTGCGTCCCGGCTCGACAAGTTCCACGTGGGTTTCTGACCCACAACATTCTCACGACGCGCTGTTCGTTTACCCGTGTCCGTACCTGCACCGCTGTCTCACCAATCGCCACGGCCGGGGCGATGTCAAGTGCGGGACCCACGAGGGACCGGTTGTTTCCTCGGTCGAACGGCAGGTAGGTGGAAGGCAGGTGAGTCATTAACGGTGGGAGAAGTACTGAAGTGGAATTATTCGCCCAGCTCATGCGTTCGCAGGGCACTGCGAGCTCAGTGCTTGGGTTCTCCTTGAACGGCCGCGCCTCCTCCCCCTCTCAGTCCACCCCCCCGCTTTCTCTCTCTCTCTCTCTCTCTCTCTCTCGTCCTTGGAGTCCACCACACGATTCCGCGGTCCGTCGCGTCTTGGCATATCGTATCCGCCGCTCGAGACGTGGGAGCGAGCGATGGAGCCGATGGCGCCGCCCACAGCCCGCAGGTTCGGGCAGATCCCGCCGCCGAACCCGCGCGGCGGTGGCGGCGGTGGCGGCGGCGGAGGCGCGCACCGGCGGTCCCAGTCCGAGACCTTCGTACGCCTCCCTGACGACATCCTCTTCGACCCCGACCCCGACTTCGACATCGACTTCCCTTCGCTCTCCGACAACAGCGTCTCCGCCGGCGACGTAGGCGGCTGCGGGACGCTCGTGGCCGAGACGCCCGGGGTGTCGGACCCGGCAACGGCGGGGAGGCCCGTCTCCGGGGCCCATCTCAGGAGCCTGTCGCTAGACGCCGCGTTCTTCGACGGGTTGGGGTTCCAGGCGGGCGCAGCGGCTGGAGACGGCGGCGGCGGCGGAGGGGCGCAGGAGAGAAGGGGGCACCACCGGCGGAGCGGCTCGATGGACGGGTCGATCTCGTCGTTCGAGGGCGAATCGGGGGCGTCGCTGTCGGATTACGCGAAGAAGGCCATGACGGCTGATAAGCTGGCGGAATTGTCGCTGCTGGATCCCAAGAGAGCGAAAAGGCTTGATCTTTTCTCCCTCAACTCTTTTGCCCCCTTTATATCTTGCAAGAACTTGCTTTTCCCCTTCCCAATTTTGCTTGATTTTAGGCTCATAAATGTTCTTTGCAGAAGTTTCCGGTTCATTTCCCTCATTTCCCCTTGCATGTGTTCCATGTTACTTATTTCTTGTAGAAAAAATACTCTTTTTCCTCTTCTTTTTTTACCTCTGTGTCTGAATTTAATGTTGTCTAATGCTTCTTTTCGACTTGCGACTTCGTTTAGTATGTTAAATGACACTCAATTTAGCTTTAATCTTATACAAGATATTGCAAAACTAGCTGAGATTTTTGAGTTCCACCTATTTCTTGCTGTAGGATTCTTGCAAACAGGCAATCTGCTGCTCGATCCAAGGAGAGGAAAATTCGTTACACAAACGAACTCGAGCGGAAGGTGCAAACGCTTCAGACTGAGGCAACCACTCTCTCTGCACAGCTCACTCTTCTTCAGGTGCATATTTTTGACTGGCCTCTGCTGTTCTTTGTTGTTTGGTGTCTGACATGAGTTTGGTGCTGCCATTGATTTCTTTGTTTCAATCAACATAAGCTGATCTGGATTGATGTTGCTCCTGGTGAAATAATTTAGTTGCTGGTGTACTTTAATCTTGCTTGATCTCCTTGCAATGTACTGACTGATGTCAGTAACTATCCTATTCAAGCATATGCATACTGCACATTGTTTAGGCAGTTTTGGGCATATCCACCGAACTCGTATTATTTTTGCGAACAAGATTTTCTGAGACGTGTTTCATATTTATTGTTGCTCGAGTGTGTATGTGTGATCATGTTGTGGTTTCATATGGAATTCCTGACTCAAGCACAACTGCAACCTAACGGCTTAACTTAAGTTTTATCTTTTGCAAGGTCTTGTTCTTCCCTTTTGCATGAACTCTTTTGAATCTCACTCATTTCAGAAATCTTTTCTTTCTCTTTGTTTTTTGTTGATATAGGATTTGTGGTCTGTAGATAACACTTGATTTTATAAAATCTTTTCTTTCATGTGTGTGATGCTGAGAATCACAATGTAAATGGTGATCATTTTCACTGACTATTTTCAATAAATTAAGAAATGAGTCTCATAACATTGCGGGGTGTAATGGCTGAGGATTGACCTTATATGGTTACAGTTCTGTGTCCACAAGCATGAACTTGATCTAATTAGCAGCCGAGCATTGAAATCAGACAGTATTGCTCAATCAAGTAGGAAATGTATAGCACTGGACTGTATAAATGGGTCATGTTCTGCACTTGGCTTTCCTTCAATTTAGCATTCATGAGAATTTAGTTCTCTAAATTATTTATTCTCATGTTTCTCATCTTCCATAAGTATCATTAATTGCACCGCATTCCTTAAGGCTCTTTCCTCAATATCAAAACTAACAGGTTTTCTTTTTAACCATTGATTTGTTGTTGGAAAGTCTCTTTTGCTGAGTATTTTCCATTGTATTTGAAAGGACAGTGATTTGATGTCTGATTCCTTTGTACTGCAGAGAGATACTACAGATTTGACTGCCGAGAATAGAGAACTCAAGTTGCGCTTGCAAGCTATGGAGCAACAGGCTCAACTCAGAGATGGTATGTGTTCAACAATACACCAACTAGTGTTTGCTAATTTAAGCTCAGTTATTATTGAGCATTCTGTTAGTGCATTTCAAGCTTAAGATGACGACAGGAGTTCCTTGGCTAGATATATTGATGAGTGAGCAGAAGATTATAATATATTCTATCCAGAATTGCAACTAGCTCCAGCTATATCTTTATACTGTTCAAATTTAATACAAGCAAAACATGCATAAGATGTTTTCTTGGATGAGAAGATCAATACCAAGTTCTAGGAACTTATTTCTTTGGTAGCACCATGAGTGTGCCACAGATTAACTCTACCAAAAAAATGTCACTGCCTACATTTCGGTTCAGCTACCCATATGATATTACCTACATGGATCAAGCATGTCATAGTAGTCACATAAAGCTGACTACACAAGTGCAACAGCCTTGTGCATGCATAGTTAATGAATCAATCTAGATAATTAGGTGAGAATATCCTTATTTCTCAACCATTATTCTTATTCCCAGCATCCTAGAACCCATAGGTTAACGCTAGGCACGACGCAAGCTAGCTTGACATCAACCTAATGAAA